TAATATTTTATATAAATTAATTAAAATTAATTAAAAAATATAAATTTAATTTTTAAATAAAATACTATATAAAAAAATATCTATGAGAATTATTGTCAAATGACCCTTAGAAAAATAGAGACGCATAGATTTAAAGGTTGAACTTTGTGGAATGAAAGAATGGTGCATCTGTCTTTTAAGTTTTTTTTTTTTTTTTTATCTTGATTGTATAATAAAAAATAATTATTTTTATCCCTTATTTTACTCCATTTGCATGTCATACAACTCAAATTCAGGATTTCTTATTTTCAATAAAATGAAATAACCACTAAACTATTTAAGTCATTAACACATTTGTCTTTAATGTTCTTATTTGTTTCCAAAAAATATTTGACATACAATATGTAAGGATGATGTTCTTGTTACATCTTCAATTACTAATGTCACACTTTTTATTTTAATTTATTATTATACCTTTTAATTTTTTTAAAAATAAAAAAATATAAATTTTTGAAAAAAAATGTGATATAAGGATATAATAAATAATTATATTAAAAAGATATGACATTAACTATTTAAGGTATGACAATAACTCCACCCAATGTCTAATCTCAAGTTTTGTCTTCCTTTCTTGTTGTCTCTAAACTCTTTGCACTCAACAGAATACTTAAATTGATGAATATTTCTATTTATTAAGAAAGAACTCACTTATATATAAATTTTATACATTATATTTATATAAAATCTTAACCATTCACTTCTTTATTTTCAATAGTTAAAATTTATTACGATTTTTTAGATAAAAAATAATTATTTTTAATAAATATGAACTAATCTCAAATATTGAAAATAAAAAGATAAATAATTGATATTTTATGTAAATATGGTGTATAAAATTTATATATAAGTCGATCTCTACTTCTATTTATTTTATTTTCATGTAAAATTGTAGGTAGACTAGCTAGAGTTCCATTTGACATTTTTTTTTTTAATTTTAGGTTATACAACGAAAGACGACTTCTTCCATCTTTCAACCTCATGTTAGATAATTCAAATTTATTATTTTTTATTTTAATTAAAAAGATTATTGTTGAACTATTTAGATGATTAGTTAATTTTGATTGATTAAAACAACAATAATATCATTGTAATTTATTAAAATTGATCGATCAAAAAAATATTATTAGGATTAATTGAAGAAAAAAGGAAGCAAAAAATATGTAGAGTTGCCCCTCTTGAAAAAAGCTTGTACGATGAAAATTAAAAGCCTACAAATGTTGACCTTTATCTAATTTTCTTTTTTTTTTTTTTTTGAACATTATCTAATTTTTTATTTTTTAAAAAAAAAAAAAAAATCTATGACTTCATTGTTTGGGGCTAAAATTAATGCTTAAATCTCTCAAAGAGATCTAACAGCATCTACAACAATGAAGAACAACACAAAAGCTTGTCTTGGTGCCATACCATCACATTTAATATTATTTTATATAAATTTATTTTTTTATGTATTTAATTTTTAAATAAAACATTTATTAAAACATTTTTCTTCAATACATACAACAGATAGAAATTTTTCAAAAATTATATTACTATTATATTATTCTACTCACATTTTAAAAAGAGAGAGAGAAAAGTGTTGACAATTAAAAAAGAAAATCAAAAGCATGAGAGAAAGGCCCAGCAAAAACCAAAAGGTTAAATTTGCAATTTAGTCCCTCAACTATTGTAAGAGCTTTTAATTTGATTTTTAAATTAAAAAAATCTCTGATTTAATCTTTACTGTTTACTAATTTTGCACCAAGTTAGTCCTTCCATACAAAATAAATAACTTGTCTCATTAATAACATGACACGTGACCGCGCGTTAAGTAATAGTTTTCTATGTTAAGTAACAAATACATTAGTTATTTTTTAATGAAAGAACCAATTTAAAATCAAATTAATAAACATCAGAGATCAATTTAGAGTTTTTTTAATTTAGGGATTAAATCAAAATTTTATACAATAGTTGAGAGACCAAATGATACATTTAACCAAATCAAAAGGTCCCCGCCATTGAAATGACCAGCTAACACAATCTGACACTATGTCAACTAGTTAAAACAATTTGCCTCAAACCAATTCAACCACAAGGTCCCTACCATTGAAGTGACCAATTAACACAATCTGACTAACTGTCAACTAGTTAAAAAAATTTGCTTTAAACCAATTAAAAACCAAAAATTCCTGCCATTAAAGACCAATTGACACAATCTAACACTATATCGAACTCCACCATGCGACCCAATAGGCCGCACGCCTCAATGTGAAGAATGGGAGATCACTTGATCTGAAGATCGAATCCTTAGTTGCTAACATTTCATAACTTAATTACTAACCATTACCCTTGTCAAAAAAAAAAAAAAATCTAACACTATATCAACTAGTTAAAAAAAAATTGACCCAAGCCAGTCAAAAAATTTGCGCCTTCTAAGGTAAATTTTTCAGACTGAGCTTGACTATATTCAAGAGAAACAAACTCAATTATTGTATCCCCTCCATTGCTGCTTGCGTTTTGTTCTAATTTGAGAAAGAACAATGTAACCGAGCACCTGTTGGGAGATGCTCTAAGCCCCTCAACTTACTAGGACCAGAAAACACCCTCCGACTAAAAGAAGCCTCTTGTTTTATTTTTTGGATAAATAGTATTAATGAGAACAAGTGGTACGCCATATCCATACGCATCAAGCTCCTACGGTAGTGTAGAGTCCAGAAGCTCTTGCACAAGATGCTGCGATCAAGGCCTAATTTTTATGTAAAGAGCTTTCTTTTTCTTTTTTTTCTTTTTTTTGGGAACAACAAATAAAATACATTTCATTATTAGAGTACAAGGACACTCTTACCCAACTCCACCAAGTATCTTTACAATTTTTAAGTATCCAAATTTTATGTATAGAGTGGTTAATTTTACTTTGGTTTGGTCCTTACACTCTTTAAATTTTAATAAAAAAATAGTCCTCAAAGTTTAAAAAATTTAAACAAAACACCCAAGTTAAAAAATGGACTTTAAATCCCGAAGATTAACATGCGTTTGTCCAATCTCAACTCTTTTTTGTTTTGATGAACTTGTCCCATCTCTGATCAATAACAGACTCAAAACCAACATTTTATGCGCTAAAAACATCCGATTTGGCGATGGGGGGTAGTGAAGATAAATACCCATATGTATTTCACTAGCTATTTATACCTCGTCCCTCACCCAGTGTACGTAGCACCTAATTTCATAAAAATATAATTAGTATAGCTTTTACTTCAATATATTTGTTAATATCTATTAATTTCTTTTACTTTTAATTACAAATTAAAAAATAATAAATTTTTTAGTAAATTTATTATAAATCATGTGTTAAATTAAAAATTGTGTATCATTGACCAATTTCACACATGATACTCACTAGTCGTCACTATTGTTCGACACTTTCTCAATTTTCACAGTAAAAAACTATTAATTCTATTTAAAAAGAAACTAATTGCCATGCACTTTCCCCTTTTTTTTCTTTGCCAGAATTATATATCATATACTTTCTCTGTCAATGGAGTTTTGTACTCCTTAATTATTCTTAATTAATTAGTCTCTCCAGCTGTCCTCCTTCTCTGCCGTTGAAAACAAAATAAAATCTATCCTCCTTCTCTTCACACAGGAAGTTCCATCGTACACACTCTCTTTTTGTGCTTATATAAATCCCCACAACCATTTCTCAACCTACACATCTTTATTGTTTCTCCTTTTGTACAACCAATTAGAAAAAATGAGGCTGTGTAAACCTGTAAGGCCATGCACGCTCCCGGCAACCACACTGAGAGCCGCTGCCACTGACCATTGCTCTTTCCATAGCTGCACTATCACTGATCAGCCTGCTACTCGAGCCAACAAGAAGTTGGTACAAAGACAACGGGTCAGGGAGTTGGAGCGCCTGCTTGAACCAATTGACACCAGCGGGTTTACCCCTCATTGCATCGGGAAGAAGTGGATGGAATACCAAGGAATCCAGAACTGGGAGGGTCTACTTGACCCTTTGGACGATAAGTTACGCAGCGAGATTCTTAGATATGGGGAATTCGTGGAAGCAGTATACAAGTCTTTGGACTTTGATGCCTCTTCTCCTACATATGCAACATGCAGGTTTCCGGCCAAAAACACAATGCTTGAGTGCGCGGGACTAAGCAAAACCGGTTACGCCTTGACCAAGTATTTGTATGCCACGTCAGGAATCAAGCCTCCACGTTGGATTGAAAAGGTACCAAGTTGGATGGCAACTCAATCCAGCTGGATTGGCTATGTTGCGGTATGTCAAGACAAGAAGGAAATCTCGAGGCTTGGCCGGAGAGATGTGGTAATTGCTTATAGAGGAACAACTACCTGCCTTGAGTGGCTTGAAAATTTTCGAGCAACTCTCACTCACCTGCACCTGAACCAGCCTGATGACGCTCAACAGGAAGAACAGAAGAAGCATGTTAATAGCTTCGCCGAAGCCCCAATGGTGGAAAGTGGGTTCCTGAGCCTCTACACTTCTCGGTCAGGCACGTCACCAAGTCTCCAAGAAATGGTCCGTGATGAGATGTCACGGTTACTCCAATCTTATGGGGATGAGCCTCTGAGTATAACCATAACAGGACACAGTCTGGGTGCAGCACTGGCTACGCTCACAGCTTACGACATCAAAACCACCTTCAACCGTGCACCAATGGTGACCGTCATCTCCTTTGGCTGTCCACGGGTGGGAAACCGAAATTTTCGATGTGAACTGGAAAAACAGGGCACCAAAGTCTTAAGAATAGTGAACACGGATGACCTGATAACAAAAGTACCCGGGTTTGTTCTTGAAGACGATGCTGTAGACCCAACAGGATTGCCAAGCTGGATTCAAAAGCGTATAGAGGAAACCCAGTGGGTTTACGCCGATGTCGGGAGAGAACTCAGGCTCTGCAGCAGAGACTCCCCCTACCTCAACAGTATCAACTTTGCCACGTGTCACGATCTCAAGACGTACCTCCACTTGGTCAATGGGTTCGTGAGCTCCACTTGTCCGTACAAAGCCACGGAACAGAGACTCCTGAACAACCATATCACAGAGAAACTCATGGCATAAATTCTTTTTTTTTTTTTTAATTAACTCGAGAATTTTGGGGGGAGATGGGGATTCTTAGCTAGCCTGTATCATCTTACGAAAGTAAAGTATGGTGTAGATCAAGCAGAAGAAGTATGTATAAAAGTATTGGCTCTAAGGGAGAACCCTAAAATTCTGTCAGTTTTCTGGGTTTGGAAATGTGCCCTTTTTCAAAAATGGGTTATGGTTGGAGCTTGACAGTTGACACAGTACGGGTGCATTGTCAATTCAGCTACTGCTGCAAGTGCAATTATATAAGGTGTAGAATTAATTAGGATATGACACTCACAATAAAAATAAAACCGTAATGGTAACTCATTTTGTGAATACAATCATTGGAATTAATATGCATGCTGGAGCTAGCTTTGAATTGTGATTAATTAAGGTTGGTCGGAAACGAAACGGCTATGTTTTTCCGACTGGAGAAGAAAATGTTATGCAAGAAAATTAAGAAATAAATTAGCAGCTTTATAATTTTTTTATATACATATGATAGTGAAATATATAAAAAATAATAGTTTTTCTTTTCTTTTTTTACATATCTCTCGATTACTAAAGTCCACTCAAGACTTAAATGTTAAATTTTAAATTTTATATTTTTAACTAATTGAACCATATCCCCTAATAAATAAATTAATTAGCATATTTATATATACTAATTAATAATTTTTTTATTTTGATTGCATAATGAAAAGTAATTATTTTTATTCATTTATCTCGTTTCATCTGTGTATTATACGATTCAAATTTAAAATTTTTTATTATCAGTAAAAAGGGATAACTACTGAGTTATTTAAGTTATTGCTATACTAATTAATACTTAAAAAGACAAATCTTGTTATTAAATAAGAAAATTTTACATTATAAAAATAAAAAATATTTGATAATTTAAATTATTTTAAATTATAAAATATTAATCCGCTTTATGAAGGAAAATTTTTTTCTTTACTAAGAGAATTTTTATTTTAAATTTAAAATAATAAAAAAATATATAAATTATATATAAGAAATGCTTCTTGATAAAATGTTGTGTGGAAAAGTTTTTATGGGATCACAGCCGAAATCCTTTCGGTCGGTCTTACGGTACAGATCGTGCATCACGCGTTCGAGAACTGAATGACGAATAGTCGAAAATGCCAAATTTTCAAACATATTGTGCGACATGCGACAGCGGCCGTTGTGGTGCAGACTGTTGTTCGTCTGAATCTCCAACGTCTAATCCAATTAGCGAATAGCACCTGCAGTCACTGCTACAGTGGCAGAGGTGCGTCAATGATCCCAATTGGCGTATATAGTTAAACTCTTTGTGAAAACATGATCTCCTTTTCTCCAACAGAAGTTAATTCTATGCCCAAAACAGTAATTAAATTAAGTTTTTTTTTTGAATTGGTACAATTCTAAGAATAATTTTTTTAACTTAATACAAATTAAGAATTTTTTTTATAATATATATAAATATAAAAATAAATATTAATTTTAGAGTTAATATTGTATAAATAAATTTAATTAAATCATTGATAAATTAAATATTATTTTTTATTTTTTCAAGATTTTTCTTTTTTATGGATCATTCGATATCCGGAAGCTCACTGAATTACTGACTAATCCAAATTTAAGCTGAGCAAAACCCATCGGATGGCAAAACTCTCTCTCACAAGTTTTAACAGAACTGTATTCTCAAAATTTGAAATCAAAATCTCTAATTAAATTGAAAAAGTTCCAACCAATTCATCCACTCACTGTGAGTATTTTTTCAATATTTTTTCAAGATTCTTAACAAATGTTAGAAAAACCTTTTTAAGAAATCAAGAAAGTAATAAGGTTAATAATCTTTAAATGTTAGTTGAATAAATAATAAATAGTATCATTTTCACTCATTTCATAGATCAAATTCAATAATTACATTATAATTAATAAAATATTATAACTATATTATTACGCTTATTTCTTTTTTAGAATAGGACCATTTGAGAAAGAGGAAATGTGCCAATGGGATTTCAAAAAATAATTTACAAAAGGTAATCCCTGCTTATTAAGAGTTTAAATGATTAGGTCGAAACGTGAAAATCATTATTACACTTATTTCGATGCCCTGATTTTCGTGTATTCTTAGAAGAAAATCCAATCACGATTCAATCGACTGCCGTCCATACCAAACATTAGTTTGAATTAAATAGTTATAAACAATAATAATATTATATAAAATAATTAATAATTTAAATAATTTAGTAATTATTTTTTTATTAAAAAAATTATGAATTTAAATTGTATTACATGTAATTAAAATAAAATAAAATAATTAATTAATTTTTATTATACAACTAAAATACAAAAGAAATATATTATATGAAATAAATGGAGTAAAAGTGTATTTGTATTTTTGTAGAAACTTAAATCCTGAATGAGTCCCCCCAGAGGGTCTGCTAGCTAGGGGCTTAGGGGGTCCACAGCCAGTGTGTATATGGCAGCGTGGTTGGTCCTACACAAGTTGGGTGTGCCCTTAGTACTTTGAGTTTCTTTCTCCTCTCCTTTTTCTGTTGGTTAAGTGGTGGCGTGCAATGGGATGCATGGGCGACGGCGCTGAAGTGGTTACTATAGATGAGCGGGGTGCGTGATGGGACTCCATGACACGAGAGGACATCAATAACTGTGGGGACATGAGAGGCTACCCTTAAAGGAGGGGCGTTATTCCCGCAATCTCAATTATTTATATTATTTATTTGGTTAAATATCTTTTTTGGTCCCTCTACTATAGGAAAAAGCTTTTTTTGGTCCTTAAATTTTAAAATCTAACCCCTTTTCAGTAATTCCATTAATTTTTGCTCACGTGGCACATTAACTTAATTGGAACAGCTGATGTGGATATGCCAACATATAAAAGATGCTTATATGGACTTAATGACACCCTCCACTTCACCTTTCATGTCACTCTCCTCACGCGAGAAAAGAAAAAAACCATAATCAATAGGACCCACATTTTGAAATACATGGTAAAAAAGGGAACCCAGGCCTAGGTTCGCTAGGTTCATCACAAACCCAGGAGTTGGGTTCATTGCACCTGCTTCCAACAATAATATATGAGTATTTTTTAACCTTTATAATTAAGAAGCTCAATTTGAAAAAAAAAAAAAAAGCACAAAAACCATAAACAAATTTACAATTTTATGAAAGTGGAAGTAGAAGTAATTTATGGATGAGTGCCATTTAGTTTTCTCAGTGCATGAAAGCATAAAAATTAGTGGAAATATAAACCGGAAGAGCAGAGGAAACCAGAAGGACCAAAGCTCCGACGACATGAATTGTCGGCTTGCTCCCATACGACAGCACCCTTAACCAGATCTCGATGACATGCACCATCGAGAGAACTAAGAAAATGCACCCCATCACCGACCCCACAACAGATCCCATCACCTCGAGCCTCAACACCTTCTGGTTAATGGTGGCCCGGAACACTTTATCCACATCGTTGCTGTTAAGCAAAGTGATGGCAAGCTTTAGGCCTTGGGAGACAAGCAAGGAGAAAAGGAAGAAGTTGAAAAAGATGACTTCAAAGATCAGAAGCTTCTTCACCATGTCGATACCGGCATCGTAGGCGGAGGGGTTCCTGAGGCTGTGTTGCCCAGGTGTAGTCAAGGACAAACCCAGGTGTAAACAGCAAGTTCACGTTCACTAGCCTGTCCAGCGCCGTCACATGGAGACTAGTGGTGGAGGAATCAAAAGACGGCGACGATCCTCTGGGGGTTTTTGGCGTAGTACACCTTTGGGGACCGTTTAGATCTGAGAAAAAAAAATCACAAAAAGAAACCAACTTTACCAATCAAGAACTCATAATCTTCAAAGCCCATAAAAAATTTCTAAAAACGTTCAAGAATTTACTCATCCATGATCAAATCTCAGAACAAAAACCAACGCTTGATTATGTTTTGGAAATAACAAAAGAAACAGAGCAAAAAAATAGAATCGAATGAAATTAGCTTTAGCGCTACAATTATTGCTTATGGGTGCAATATACCTTGCTTTTATACTTGGGTTTGGCCTTTTTGGAGGGTTTTAAGAACTTGAGAAATATGGATTTGAAGTTCTTTCTTTTGGCCATGGAGAGACTTATAGTTTGAATGCAAGAAGAGGTGAGGGTTTGTTTCAGCTTTAAGCTTAAAATCAAAATGAAATTCTTTGGGAAAGATGAATGTCTTAAATGTAACTGAAATGGTGGCAAGACAATATATGTAATAAACTAACAATAACCCAGGTGTCTGGGTTCGCTGGGTTTGTCGCAAACCCAGGAGCTGGCTTCGTCGCACCTGGCTCTAGCCATCCATTTATTATTAATATATGACAAACCCCACGCTTAGCTTCGCAACGAACCCAGCAAACACAGGCACCTAGGTTCGCCTTTCCAGATCTAATTTTCAGAGGGCAAAGGTAAAAAAAAAACAAAAAAAACAACGAAGGCCGGAGAAAGGAGAGGATAAGACAGATGGGGGTAAATTAGTAATTAAAATCAAATACTCTTAATCACAAAATAACCTTTAAAATATAGACATGTCATCAATTTTTGCTGGATAAACTTTCCACATAATTTAAGTAAAGAAAAAAAAATAAGTTTTTCGTTAATTAACCTGTCACATCAGCAAAAAGTTTATGGAAGGACTAAAAAGGGGTCGGATTTTAAAATTTTGGGACAAAAAAAAAGGATTTTTTCAATACAAGGATAAAAAGTGGGCTTTTTCTATAGTAGAGGGACTAAAAAGGGTATTTAACCTATCTATTTTTATTTTCATTAATTAGTATATTTTTTAATTCATTTAGGAAATAAAAAAAATATAATGTAAAAAAGTATAAATGTTTTTTTTTTTTTGAACATGAAAATTATGAGTGAGGGAAAATTTGTTAAGTTGTTAGTAGAAGTCAAATTTTGGATTAATTGCATCTAAATACTTAAATTTGAGGACAAATCATTAAGTTTAAAGAATCGATTTGTAAAAAATTTATAAAAAAGTATAATAGTTAGTTAAATTAAAAATGTACAGTATTAATTATTAAAGGTGTATTATCAAAAAAAAATTAAAAGTGTAATAATAATTTCACCCTTTATAGGTTTTACTAACCAATTTAGTTTTTTTTTTTTTAAATTAAAGTAATCATTACAATTAAAAAAAGACGTATCATGCTAAATTAAGCTTAAAGTTACTTGCATTCCCCTGTTGTGACCCATTAGTGGCCACCGCAACTCAACAGAACTGTCGGTAAATTGCACCCCTAATCAGTAGTCGAATCTTGCTAAGAGTAAGTTACTAACCTAACTAATTTCTAATTTCTAATCATTGTCCTTATCAAAAAAAAAAAAGTTTATAATTACTTTAGCTATATTTGGATTAACTAATACAAAACATCTATATAATCTAATTAGACAAATAAAAATATTAAATTTAAAGATATAATTA